TCCCATTGTAGAAGTGGTATTTGAAATACAGGAGAATTTATTGAGGAATTCCTGATTGCCCAGTTTCTAAATTTTAAGAATTTGACAATATTTTTCATTCATATTACATTAATGCCTCATATTTTACATTTAAGGGTTCACTTGGTTCCATTAGTTTTGTTTTGCACTTCTGGAATTTTCTCTTCACTTGAACTTACTGACCTTTGTCCAGACATTTTTGCATATTGTTTAATGATACTCTTATAAATAATATTAAGTAGTGACAGAAGTAATCTATGGAATCATGAAGACTCATTAATATCTTTCTAATCTGTTTTTCTAGAAAGGCCAGAGCTTGACAAAGATCACAACATAGTGGATCCTGCTTGTTCCCAACCTTGTTTACTTAGCAGATGATATTTGTCAAGTCCATTCAGGTACAAATGGTAACTGGAAATTATCCAGGAGTCATAAATGTGGAAATTAAATTGCAACAGCGCTTTTTGAAGCGCTCAGGTCAAAAACTGAGGCATCATCCTTGCCTCTTTTATTTCTCTAATACCCCCCACACTATCAGCAAATCCTCTTGGCTCTACCATTAAAATACAATCCAGAATCTGACCCTTTTTCACCACAACCACAACTTTTAATCATTCCAGTTTAAGCCACCAACTCCTTGCTGGATTATCGCAATAGCCTCCTAACTGTAGGGAGAATTGCGAGCAAGGGAAAAAATGGCAGCGAAAGATGGCTACAACATCTCTACATTCCTTTCCATGCTGGGGCAGATTGTTTCTAAATTTTTGTCGGAATATTTGAGTACAAGAAACAGAAACCTATTCAAACTCGTTTAAACAAAGAAGGGAAGAAAGGGCAGCCAGATTTCATGAGGAATAAGGACTGGAAACTGGAAAGTCAGGGAGAGAAATGGTTCTCCAACTGTCCAGAGTCAGCTGTCTCTAGTTTTTGTGTCTGCTCCGTTCTCCCGTGTTCCATCGAAGTATGGGCACTTCTAGCTTCAGTCCCAGCTCTACAAGACTTTCTAGTTCAGAGTATTTAGCATCTTTATAATTCAATTCCAGATTCCCAGATGATCTCTTGGCTTGGCTTACTTCAGCTGGCTGCCTCTGATCCAGTCAGTGTGGACTAGGACTCTTGGTCACCTGATCAAAACACGGTTGCCCAGCCCCAGCATTTCAGCAGGACCTAAGGGACCCATTCAGAAAAGGGCACATGAACTAGGCAAACTAATTAACATCTTGCTGCAATTTACGAATAATTTAAATTCAATATTCTGTTAAGCGGTGTAGTGAATCAATTATTGTCACACATACATCCTTTGGGACTCAATAAACTGAAATCAAGTCAATATAAACAAATGCTAGAAGGTGAGGTAGATTTGGTCTGTCTTCCAGAAAATTTTTACCGATAACATAATTTCTCATTAAAATATGTACTTTCAGTTTCTACTTTGTTCTTCTCAATAAAAGGAATGTTTATTTTTTCTTTTATTATTTATTTATTTTATTTATTCCAGCTGCCCCTATGAGACCAATAACAGAGCCTTTGTTCCTCTGGTAGCCTTTCAACAAGACAATGAGGAATGGCATATTCAGGAATGTTATGAATTCTCGATCTTTAGCCTTCCATGCCGAATAATTTAATGAGCTGCTTTCGTTTTTGTATGTTGACTCTCTTTTTTCTTTTTGCCTTTTTATTTTCATTTTATTAACTGAATATTGTTTGGAGCTGTCTTGACTCAGCTAAAACGTAATATAGCTATCTATAACTTGTCAGCGGAATACACTGTCACATCATCATCTCTTGATCCATTCTTCAGTAAGCAGGTAAGAAAGATTTCCATTTGGGAGAATGTCACTTGCCCAAAGGCAGAAAACTATTGAATTGCTTGGAATCAACACACTAATTCATTTATTAAAACAAAACAAAAAAATAAATAAAACTGTTGAGAGATTATTATGGGTAAAACTCTGCTCTGTGCTTAATTTTAAAATGAATAATATAAATTATTAAAAATTTTAACATTTTACTCTAAACTTAAAATGGCTAATTTTAATTTAAAATCTTAAAATATCTATCAATCTTAATTTAAAAAATCAAATGCTCAATTGAAACCGAATTACATGAAATATCATGAGTTTGAGGATCCATTATTTTGCCTATCACAAAGGTAGATATTTTGGGGCAGTGTTGATTTTTACCTACAGAATTCTGAATATGTCATGGCCTCCTGGAGCATGGAGAGGATACACTACAAATTCATGAGGCTAACCTACATTAGCAGAGATGCTCCACCTTCAGAATTCCACATGTCCTCTATGAACCAAAGTTTTGGGAATGCCAGGATGGGTTCATAATCTGATGAGAGGGATGAGGTACGAAAATCAAAACAGAAATTCTGAAGTCAAAAATGATGGAGACTGGCTTAAATTGGTGATCTCTTGAAGTCTCTTTCACTTCAAAGACCCTGGAAGTAGAATGGAAAAACTGACATTTTTGAGTATCTACAGAGTGCTAACCAATGTAGTACAAATTTCCCCTTTTTTTTTTTTTTCCAGTTTTCTTCACAGAACCCCAGGAAGAAAGTAGTATTAATCTCATTTTACACAGGGGGAATCCGCCTGTTAAGAAAAGTAAGGAATTTGCCCAAGTTTGCACATACTCCCAAGGCCTGGAATGAAATTCATGTCTGGGAGACAACAGAGCCTAGGATTTTTCCACTACCCCACAAGGCCTCTCAGCAAGAAGCTGTTCCTTCTCCAAAGAGGTTTATAATCCAATGACGACAAATTATCCAAAGATTTATTTTCAACCTAGATGAAAAGATGGATCATAAAATTCCATGGGGAAGTGATCTCTTTTGCAATTTCCCCCTATGCAGGCATTTGTATTTTTAAAAAACTCTCCAGGTAATTCCTCCCCACCAGCCTTCCAGCGCTCCTGTCTCGCCTCTTCATCTGATCAATTCCTATTCATCGGGACTCAACTGTGGTATCACCATTTCCAGCCCTTCTTTGGCAGGTTAAAGTACCCTCTACCAGTCCTCCTCGTGCATGAGTCCATCAGTGAACTCATCACATTGTTTTACAATTTCTTATTTATGTGAGGTTTGCCCTCTTTACACTGTGGTGAGCTTGTTGAAAGCAAGAATTGTCTTCAGTACCCAGGACGTCTCACATTCAGTAAAATGTGTTTCAGGGAACTAAATTAATAAACAAAAATTTCAGAGCCACTTGGAAATAGCTTAAGAAAATCTTCAAATCTGTTTTGTTGTTCGCTGCACCCAGTGAGCGTACTAAGTCAATAAATATTAAACAATAAAATAATTTTATAAGTTCCAAGCGTAAGACCGCCTCTGGATGCGGAAGCGCCACAGAGAACTACATTTCCCGAAATGCCTGAGCCCCAGTCATAGTTGGTTTGCGGACTGTTCTTGAATGACTGTCACATCAACCAATACTGTGACGAGAATTTCCAGGCACGGGCAGGAGGTGGCCAATCACAAAGGGGAGGGCGGGCACTCCCGATTTCGGTTCAGAAAAAACCCGTCGTAGGTCTTCTGTGGCTCATCGCAGCCCCGACAGGGGCGGGAAGTCATTAACCCCGGAGGGTTTCGTCCCTTCTCACCCCGACTCCACGAATTAGAAGTAGTCTTTATGCGCTTCCATCCTTCCTTTCGTTTTTCCTAGTTATCACATCCTTCCTAATCAGGCGCCTCTGCTGCCCGTCCACCTTTCCCTGTTGAACGCACTCTCCGGCAGGATAGCCGTAGCGGGAATCTCTCTCGACCTTTTTCAAACTTGAGCCAGACATTTGTCTCTCAGCCTACAAACGAGTTTGTGTCAGTGCAGCAGCGGAATGGTCTCAGCAAAAACTTCCCCCTTCCCTCCTTTCCCCTTGCAAGAGTGGATGGAGCTACTGAGGATTACTTAGTGGATAGTCAGCATTACAGGGCGGATTGAAGGTTCTGAAAAATGAGTGGCAGCGCGGTGTTTACTTCCACCCTCGCTCCCGCCCCATCACCACCCACCCTAGCGTGCGGACTGAATCCAGGGGTGGTGTGTCACTGGTCGGGGCAGACACCCAGCCCTGGAGCGGTTCCCCTTTGGCAGCCTCTTCTATCCTAGCAGCTACCTGCCACGGCCACGCTTTAAGCCCACCGACACGAACAGCTTCAGGAAAGAATTCATTTTTCCCCCTGTGGGTTTCTCTCCTTTCCTAGTACCTTGAAGTCTGTCATCCTCTTGCCACCAACATAATCGTTGTCTAGACGCGCTTTTTCCAAAACCAAATCCAAAACAAAGCCCAATGCACAAAGCAGCAAAGATCATATTGCAGCTAGCGGCCGGGAGTGGGCACCTCGTTAAAGGGCGCGAGCAGAAACCCACGCTTTAATGACCGAATCTGAAATAAAGGTTTCCTGCTGCGTGTTAGCCGGCCACATTTTCCCCTCCCGGCTGCAGGAGCAGCAGCTGCAGCCGCTGGCGGGGCGAGTGGGGTGGGAGAAATTTAGCCCCGATCTGGGATTTTCGCAGGGGATAATTTAAGCCCCAGCTCCGCTCCCGCGAAGGGGCGGGGGGCGGGGGAGCGGGGAGTGCGGCGCGCATGCGCAGGCTCGGCAGCCCGGCTCCGCGGAGGCCCAGCTGCCGCCAGCGCCGCGGCCGACGCTGTAGCCGCGGCTGCCCGGGCGGGCGTTGGGGCCGGGCCGAGCGGCGGGGAGCGGCGGGCTCGGGAGCCGCGAGGCGAGGCGGGCCGGGCGAGGCGGGGCGAGGCGGCGGGCGCGGGGACCCACCCGCGCGATGCCGGGCGGGCAGCGGCGCTGAGCGGCGGCGAGGCCGAGCGGCGGCGGACCGAGGGCCGGCGACCCCGCGCGGAGGAGGAGCCGGAGCGGGAGCGAGCGCCCGGGGACTGCGGGCGGCGGGCGGGCGGCGGGCCATGGACGCGGCGGGGGCGAGCCGGGGCGGCGGCGCGGCGCAGCGGCAGCCCGCGGCCAGGTGAGGCTGGGCGGAGCGGGCTCGGGCGCCGCCGCCTCCGCTGGGCTCCCGGGCCGCGGAGCGAGACGGCGGCGGCCGGAGCGGCGCCACAGCAGCCGCGGTGAGCCGCGGCGGCCTCGGAGCAAGAGGGGTCGCCGCTGTCGTCGGCGCAGCGTTTCCTGTCGGGATTGTCCCGTGCTTCTCCCCAGCCGCCCCCTTCCTCTCCGGCTCCCGCGCTCTCCCGCTCCTCCGCGCGTGGCCCGGGTCGGCGCTGCCCTCGGCCCGGGCGCGGGCCCCCGCCCGGGGTCGCCCCTTGCCTCCCCTCCCGGGCCGCGGGGGCGCCCCGTCGAGACCATGAGGAAATTCAACATCAGGAAGGTGCTGGACGGCCTGACCGCCGGCTCGTCGTCGGCCTCGCAGCAGCAGCCGCAGCAGCACCCGCCTGGGACCCGGGAGCCCGAGATCCAGGAAACGCTCCAGTCCGAGCACTTCCAGCTCTGCAAGGTGAGCGCGGCACGCAGCCCGCGGAGACGGGGTCGTTTTAGGGAGCACCCCGGGCTGGACGGGGGAGCGCGAGGGCAGAGAGCGCCGGTCATCGCCGCGGCTCGCGTGCACGGCTCGCTTCTCCTCCCGCCGGCATCTGCTTGCTGGGTTATTTTGGAGATTGACATCATCTTACTCCTTTTCGTTGATTTTTTTTTTCCTCTCCCCTTTTCCTAGGCAGCAATCCTTTCCAGCTCGCCTGTAACGTCTTACGCTGACCTTTAATTCGTCTTCTTATTTATCTTGTAGGTTTTTGTATTTGAGCATTTGGATGTAATTCACCAACTTGGAAGTTTCCTTTGGTAGCAGTGTCTAATGAATTTTGTTTATCAGAAAGCCAAACCTGTTCAACCAGATCTTTGCTCATCACTTTCACCTTAAAATGTGCTAGGAAGCTTAAAATATGAAATCACAGGGTCCTTTTATCACTGTGTTTGGTTAAAAAGTTAGTACGGAGATTTTTACCTGTTAATGGCACGACAGTTGCCTTAGCGGTCTGTAATTCAGAAAGAATGATGCAGCGAATTAATTCACCAGCTGCTCAACGAGAAACACAAACTTGTCTTGTTGTTAATACCGCCCTTTCTCATAATTACCATGCGTTCATATGTCAGAATTTATTAAAAGTGTGTACATACACGCTTTTGTCCTAATGCCCTAAAAATATTGAGGATTTAAAAGCAAAATACAAAGATATATGTCGTACTCGTTTTCATTGTGTGAAACTGCAAAATGTTGGGGTACATGTTTGATAATAGCTTTTCTGAATCCTTGCCTAAAGTCATTATATGACAGCTTTTCCTTAGAATTATTTGCATTTAGCCTCCAACTAAAGTAATGATAAAGTTGTCACACCTGAAATAGAGCATGAATTGCATTTTTAAATGAATTTGCAGAATTTTTGACCATTGCAAAGTTTAATAATTTGGTCTCAGACGTAACAGTATAGAATATTAATAAGAAATTTTCTTCTGTAGGATACCGGTATTACAGAAGAGCAGAAATTGAAGTGTAACCCTGGGATCGGTTATTTTTGTTGTTTCAGGTTCTATGTGAATAAGTTTTTTTTGTTAATGTAGATTTCGTTGTTTGTTTTCAAAGCGGTAAGTGGTTGTATATGTGTTTTGCATCAGTTGTAGTTGCTTCTAGATTCTAATGCTTCTGTTGACTTCTGTTTGTAAATTTCGCCTGCTGCCCCGGCTGCTGTGATGTCACCTGCCCATCCCTAGACTGTTCGCCATGGATTTCCCTATCAACCCTCGGCCCTGGCCTTTGATCCTGTCCAGAAGATCCTGGCAGTGGGCACTCAGACTGGTGCTTTAAGGCTGTATCCTTTCATTTTATTATTTCAACTTCTACTGTATTCTCCCCGGTTCTTCTGTGTTGCTGATGAGTTCCTTCTCCTCTTTAATTCCAAAGAAATGGTGTCATCGGGTATATGTCATGTGAAATCATGTGGTGTTGGCTTTCCCCTCGATTATTATACATATAGTCAGGTTATATGTTGGTGTGTTTCTCAGCTTTCAGTTCATTGCTAAACATGTATCTACGTAGAAAGTTTTGCTGTAGTAACTACTGTCTTTGCAAGGAGCTAGAAGTTTCTAAGGGGAAATATATCAGCTTATACCGATGGTCTGTTGAATACGTTAAGAATGAGGTTTAAAGACAATAGCACAGGGCACATTTTAATTGCTTTTTAAAAATACTGTGCATGGTAGGTGTTGAACTTATGACCTATTTATTATTCTAATAAATTAGAGGTTGAATTGGTTGTTTCTGACTTGTCTATCTGGAAAGATTAGACAAATGTTGCCAATGAATTTTATATGAATAGTTGCTATTTCTAGAAGTTTTAGAGCCTCATAACACAAATGGATAAGTGTACTCTCTTGATGTGTTTTCCCTTTTGTCGTCTCCATTTGTTCTGTGGATGTGAAAGCTGTTAGGTCAGCAATAGTCTGAAGTATTAGTATAGAGAGAATTATTTTTCCTGGTTATGCATGAACTATAATAGTTTTGTCATGGTTTTTCCAAATACCTACTCATTCTTCAAGATCATTTTTTTATTCTAAACAATGGAGAATACTTCTCACTTCGTTTGTAAAACTATTTAACTTGAAATAAAATTATGTTTGCATTTACTATGACATTTAACCATGCTTAACCAAAATATCCTTGTTTTTAAACTTAAACATAAGATTTTTAAAAGAGCATGCTTTTAAAAATGCTTTTTGTTCCTATCTCTGTAGAATATCTGCTTCCTCCATGTTGTTTAAGTAATGTATTGGTAGCAAATAGAAAAAAAAGTCAGTAGATGATCTCAGTAGACATTGCTGTTGTCAGAAAACCAAAAACAAAAACGGAGGATGAGGGAGCTTTACCCCTCGCGATTTAGATTTATGTGGCTCCTGAGAAGGGAGAGGGGAACCTGCATTTGAGTTCAACACGTGCCTTGCATTTTTCTTACGAGCTTTTAAAATCTTCATTTTGAAGAAGCACTATACGTGGTATCAGGATACACAGCAAGTTTCATTTGTGATGAGAGTGCTGCCTTCAAAATGCTTACCCACGTTTTCAGATGGGCCCTGAACTGTGTTCCTAAGCGCAGTCTACCGTTCACAGGATATACCAGTAGTGCGCTCGAACCTGTTAAAATGGTAAAATCAGCCAGGATAGATCTGAATCTGTGAATTTCTAAGTCGGTGTGTCTGAATGGCCCCTGCCCAAATGTCTAGATAGTTGAGACTAGAATGTTTTGACTTCGATTGTTTGGATACTTTTATTCCTGTATCCAGTGATCAATACCTTCTAGTTTAGGGCTCCTATTTTAGCCTTGTGAAGATGGAAATAAAGTTCATTTTGTCAGTGTGGGTACTAAGTGTGTAGCACACTCTGCAGTGACAGGACTGGTGCATTGTTGGATCTAGATAGACTGTTTGGAACTGAAAGCAGACTTTTTTGTTCCCAGCAAAAGAATATTACCACTGGACCAAAAGGAAAAAACATAGAGTTGAATTAAATCAGTTATTTTTAGATTATTTGGTTTTGCTTTTAAATGGGTTCAATTGTTACTGTTGTCCCAATGTAGTCTCAATTTTCTTATCCTACATAACTTTTGTTCCTTTTAACAGCCAATCTGCCCCTTTTATAACTTAATCTAATTATAGGTGAGTACCACCAACAAGGCTGATTGTATAAAACCAAATATTTTTCTTAGACAAGCCTTTTTCCCCAAATGCATTTGAGTAATTAGCAAGTTGACACAAATGGAGGAGTTAAAATGTTAGGCCTAATGCTAATTGCCAAATAAAAGCTAGGATTGGGTGTCTAAAATCATCACTTGTTTGTGATTTTTGCTTATCCATATTTTTTGTGGTTAAATACTGTAGGAATGAAAGTGAACCTGTAATTATAGTTTACGGTTATACTCTAAATTTGTTTTTAAAACCTCTTACTATATTTAGAATGAAGCCAGGAAAACTACCAAATGTATTTCTACTTTCCCTTTTTATGAGATTTATACGAATGTTCTAGAGTGATAAATTGGTTTGCCTGCCAGTAATACCACCTAGTCATGCCTTGTGTTAGGTTAAAGGAGCAGATAAGCTTATGAACTTTATTTATTAAGACTTTGATTTATAGAAAATGACTAAGGCCTTTTTATTTTTATCTAATTTCCACATGTGATTTAAGATATATGTTAGTGTCTCTATTCTTTGTTATTCTCAAAGCTAGACAACTAAAATTTATAGTTTCTAATTTCAAAGCTCCATATGGGTTTAAGATGCAGATTTACTACAAGTCTGTTTTATTGCCCTTGTTCTTTTATGTTTTTTTTATTGCAACTAGTTTCTTTTAGTTTTTTTAAAAATTTTCTTCTCCTATTAGACTACTGTAGCCTGTAATACATTTTTCCTAAAAGATTTCTTTAGCGTGGAAATGTACTTCTAGATGAAGTCTTTGCCTTCATTTAACTGCGGAGCAGAAAGTAGGTTTTCAGAGGTAGGACTGGGCTATTAGAATTCGAAATGCATATGTAATTTGACTAATAGAATGTCTTCCTAAGTGTTGGAGACTATACTAAGTTAATCTATCTACTTTGAGGTTAAAAAAAACCCTAGATCAGAAAGTTATATCTTAATATCTAAAGTTATAGACAAGAGTTAGTGAAAATCTAAATCCTGAAATGACATCTAACCAATAATGAGGTAAGATAAATTTAATGTATTTGCTGCATTAATGTATAGCAGATGACTGATGATATCATTATAAACATGCTTTGTGTTCAACTTTCTTGGCTTCTGGAGAGAATGTGAGGTTGGAATGTACTTCTGATGGGGAGCAGGAGAGCATAATTTTATATACCAAGTCATAGAGTAGTGACGTGATTTAATTATCTTAATTCTCCTCTTTTTGCCATGTAGAAATAGGTAAAATTTGATTCTCATGAGCAATCTAGGGATCAGAACTCTTGGGATCAAATGATCTGATTATCTCTTCCCATATGAATAAGTAAAAGGGGAAAAAAAAGGTTCTAACTGAGAAATGAAGGCATTTCTAGTAATGCTGCTGTTGTCCTAATTTAGCCTCCTGGGTTACCAGCATAATTTCAAATTGCTTCATACTCTCTTATAACCATGGGCTACTCTGATCTTATTTTTAAGACATTTTTGTTTAATCACAATGGGGTCATTTTATGTGTGAATATTTCAAGGACTAAGCAGAAAAATGGAATTTCACTTTTACTGAATTTTTGTAAAAATTTGAGTTTTTACTCATTTATTGTCTTTTTGACTTGGGGAAAATACAGGATAAGGGCAGTCTCTGCTTTGGTAAGACACAGACTGTCTTTTAAATTACAGTGTAATGTTGCTGAATACAGGTTTACAGAACAGTTTTTGTACCTTGCAGTTCATTTTTTAGCAAGCACTTACTAAATGTTAATTACATTATAAATTGTGGCCTGAATTCTGGTTTTTGTCTTGCCATTAAAGAATTATGTATTCTTGAATTTGTTTTTTTCTTACTTTTAAAATGAAGGTGCGGTTAGATAATTTCTTCAAGAAACAATTCTGCGATCCCAGGTAGCTATATGTTGTTCCAGGTGAGTATTCAGAAGAAATGGAAACTTGATTCTTACCTTCAGAAAGTTTGCAGTCCTTACTGCAGGACTAGCGCTAGATAGATGCAGCTGAAATTAGAGATTTATTTAGGGGTCAACTGACATGACGCCAAGTCAGATTATAGGTAAATTCATTGTATTGGATGACATTTCTACACGTTAGCAGATAAGGATTCAGAATGGCAGGCATTCAGATTATTCTAGGCAAGCACTGTGGGCAGAAGTAGAGAAAAGGGTGTTATCGCAGTAGTTTAGAGGAATGCTAAAGAGACTGGTTGGAATAGTGGTCCTGGTTGGGTTGAGGGGAGAAATAAGGACCCAGTTGGAGAACTCTGAATGTAAACCTGAGTTGTCTGGGCGTTATTCAGTGGGGAATCATTGTAGTTAGGTAAGGAGATGCTGACGGGAAAACAGTGTGGTTTTCAGGATGGTTAATGGGACAGTGGTGTCATGGATGAAAAGAATAGAGCAAGTGAAACTTCACGTGTAACTCTTTATCCATGTGGTAGTAAAGGTAGTAAAGTGGATCTAAAACATAGGTTGTACAATGGGAGCTGGAAAAAGCCTTGAGGACCGCTTTGTGAAATCTTAGCGGCAGTAACTAAAGATGAGAATAAAATTTTGCAAATATTGCACTGGGGCGATTATGGGACAGCAATAGAAAACTTGGTAAAGAGGGTGGCAGAGTAACGTGGAGTTTGGAATTCTGTCATCTTTTACTTTTGTCCTACTGCCGTTTTGAGAAGGTAGCTTTGACTTCTTATTTTCGCATTAGAATTTGATACGCTTTTCTATTTGCTTTTCTTTTGGGTTCATCCTTGTTGATTTCCTGGATTTGAGTTGAGCGAAAGTCACTGTTAGCTGTTTGGCTTTGTCCATTTATCCCTGGTCAGCGTCTCAGTGGTGGCAGCATTTTGAGCTGTGCGTTTGTCCCGCACATCACAGGCTCTTTAATATCCCCGGCTCGCACCTGCCGAATGCCAGGATTGCCTCTGCTGTCGGTGTGGCATCCCAGACTCCCCCACACACTTCCAGTAGCTCCTGGTTGAGACCACTGCACTTGGCCCAAGTTCTCCACGAGTTCAACAGGAATAATGACCCTTCCTAGCTCACAAAGTTAGCATCAGGGTTACATGCGATAATGTGTATGTGTAGCTTTTAAGACCATGCAGGGACTGTTTTGGTGAATATTCAACATCTGATAT